CTGGGGACACACCTGGGGACACACCTGGGGACACCTGGGAATACCTGGGGACAGCTGGGGACACTGGGGGACACACCTGGGGACACCTGGGGGACACCTGCCGTGGGTGTGGGGCCCTGAGGTGTCCCCTGTGTCCCCCCCCTGCAGAAGGACACGGACGAGGAGGTTCGGGAGTTCCTGCACAACAACCTGCACCTGCAGGACAAGGTGAGCCCGGTGTCACCTGTGTCACCTGTGTCACTGTGAGCCTGGTGTCACCTGTGTCACTGTGAGCCCGGTGTCACCTGTGTCACCTGTGTCACTGTGAGCCTGGTGTCACCTGTGTCACCTGTGTCACCTGTGTCACTGTGAGCCTGGTGTCACCTGTGTCACTGTGAGCCCGGTGTCACCTGTGTCACCTGTGTCACTGTGAGCCTGGTGTCACCTGTCCCCAACGTCACCTGTGATCCCAATGCCACCTGTAAGCTTGCTGTCACTGTGTCACCTGTGTCCCCAGAGCTGTCCCCAGGGATGTCCCCAATGTCCCCAATGATGTCCCCAGGTGGAGAACACGGGCTCGGCCAGGTGGCAGATGGCCCTGTGTCCCCAGGGATGTCCCCAGTGTCCCCAATGATGTCCCCAGGTGGAGAACACGGGCTCGGCCAGGTGGCAGATGGCCCTGGTGCGCCAGGCCGGCCGTGACGAGGACAGCGGTGACAGCCCCGAGCAGGTCGTGCGCAGGGTGCAGGAGGTGTCGGCCGTGCTCTATCACCTGGAGCAGGTGAGGGGTTTGGGGGAGGGTTTTGGGGACACACCTGTGGCCCCAGGTGGCCCCAGGTGGCCCCAGGTGACCCCAGGTGTCCCCCCACAGACGGAGCACCCCTACAAGTCCAAGAAGGCCGTGTGGCACAAGCTGCTCTCCAAACAGCGGCGCCGCGCCGTCGTCGCCTGCTTCCGCATGACCCCCCTGTACAACCTGCCCAGGTGGGACACTGGGGACACTGGGGGGACACTGGGGACACCCTGACCCCCCTGTACAACCTGCCCAGGTGGGGCTGGGGGCTCTGGGGGACACTGGGGGGTTACTGGGGACACCCCCAGCTGTCCCCAGCTGTCCCCAGCTGTCCCCAGGTGTCCCCAGCTGTACCAGCTGTCCCCAGATGAATCCCCAGGTGTATCCCCAGCTGTCCCAGCTGTCCCAGGTGTCCCCAGCTGTCCCAGGTGTCCCCAGCTGTCCCCAGATGAATCCCCAGGTGTATCCCCAGCTGTCCCAGGTGTCCCCAGGTGTCCCCAGGTGTCCCCAGGTGTGTCCCCAGGTGTATCCCCAGCTGTCCCAGGTGTCCCCAGCTGTCCCAGGTGTCCCCAGCTGTCCCCAGGTGTATCCCCAGCTGTCCCAGCTGTCCCAGGTGTCCCCAGGTGTCCCCAGGTGACACTCACCTGTCCCCAGGCACCGTGCCTGTAACATGTTCCTCGAGTCGTACCGGCTCTCGTGGCTGGGCCGGGAGCAGCCGCCCTTCGAGGACCGGATGATCGACGACCTGTCGGTGAGAGACGGGGCTGGGGGACCCCCCCGGCTTTGGGGGACCCCCCTGGGTTGGGGGGACCCCCCCGGGACTTTGGGGACACCCCTGGGTTTGGGGGACCCCCCTGGGTTTGGGGGGCACCCCCGGGTTTTGGGGGACACCTGGGGCTAGGGGCACCCCTGAGTTATGGGGGACCCCCCTGGGTCTGGGGGACACCCCCGGCCTTGGGGGGCACCTGGGACTTGGGGGGCACCTGGGTCTGGGTGCACCCCTGGGTTTTGGGGGGGGACACCCGGGTTTTGGGGACACCCCCGGGACTTGGGGCACCCCTAGGTGTTGGGATACCCCCGGGTTTTGGGGGGCACCCCTGAGTTATGGGGGACACCCCTGGGTTTGGGGGACACCCAGGACTTGGGGGGACATCTGGGACTTGGGGGGCACCCCCGGGTTTGGGGGGACCCCCCCCAGGACTTGGGGGCACCCCTGGGACTTGGGGATCCCCTGGATTTTGGGGGGACACCTGGGTCTGGGGGACACCCCCGGGTTTTGGGGACACCCCTGGGACTTGGGGGACCCCTGGTTTTGGGGGGCACCCCTGGGTCTGGGGGCACCCTTGGGTTTGGGGGGACATCTGGCACTTGGGGGGCACCCCCAGGCCTTGGGGGACACCCCCGGGACTTGGGGAACCCCTGGATTTTGGGGGGACACCTCCGGGTTTTGGGGGCACTCCTGGGTTCGGGGACACCCCCGGGTTTTGGGGGGACACCCCCGGGTTTTGGGGAGCCCCTCCCTGGGTTTTGGGGTCCCCCGAGCCCCCCCTGAGGCGGGTTTGGGGTTTTTGGGGGGCAGAAGTCGGGGCGCGAGGAGGAGGAGGAGGAGGAAGAGGCGGAGGCGCGGCCGGACCCCCTGCACCAGCTGATCCTGCACTTCAGCCGCACCGCCCTCACCGAGCAGAGGTACCCCAACACCTCGGGGGGACCCCAAAACTGCCGGGGGGGACCCCAACACCTCGGGGGGACCCCAAAACTGCCGGGGGGGACCCCAAAACCTCGGGGGGACCCCAAAACTCCCGGGGGGGACCCCAAAACCTCCGGGGTGAACCCAAAAACTGCCAGGGGTCCCCAAAAACTGCCAGGGGACCCCAAAAACTCCGGGGGACTCGAAAAACTCCAGGGGGACCCCAAAACCTCCCATGGGGGAACCCAAATCCTGCTGGGAACCCAAAACGTCTGGGGGGAACCCAAAACACCCAGGAGGGGACCCCAAAACCTGCTGGGACCCCAAATCCTGCCACGGGGAACCCAAAACCTCCCAGGGGACCCCAAAAACATGCTGGGAACCCCAAAACCTCCTGGGGGGATCCCAAATCCTGCCATGGGGAACCCAAATCCTCCGGGGGACCGGGGACCCTCTGGGGGGGACCCCAAACCCCACCAGGGTCACCCGGGGGTACCTGGGTCCCCTTTTTGGGGGGTCCAGGGTGTCCCCAGTGCCCCCCCCAACCTGTGTCCCCCTCCCCAAATCCTGCTGGGGGACCCCAAACTCCACCTTGGGGACCCCAAACCCCACCAGGGTCACCCGGGGGTACCTGGGTCCCCTTTTTGGGGGGTCCAGGGTGTCCCCAGTGCCCCCCCCAACCTGTGTCCCCCTCCCCAAATCCTGCTGGGGGACCTCCAAACCCTGCTGGGGGACCCCAAATCCTCTGGGGGGGACCCCAAACCCCACCGGGGGTACCTGGGTCCCCTTTTTGAGGGGTCCAGGGTGTCCCCAGTGCCCCCCCCAACCTGTGTCCCCCTCCCCAAATCCTGCTGGGGGACCCCAAACTCCACCTTGAGGACCCCAAACCCCACGAGGGTCACCTGGGGGTACCTGGGTCCCCTTTTTGGGGGGTCCAGGGTGTCCCCAGTGCCCCCCCCAACCTGTGTCCCCCTCCCCAAACCCCGCAGCCACCTGGAGCAGGATCACCTGTACATGGCCTACGCCGGGATCATGGCCAAGGTGGGGACCCCCAAATCCGGGGGGGTCGTTCGGGGGGGGGGTCCCCATATTTGGGGAGAATCAGAGATGGGGGGGACCCCAAAGGTCTGGGGGGGTCCCCGGGGGGGGGAAGGCTGAGGGAATTTGGGACCCCCAAAATTTTGGTTGGGGTCCCCAGGGGGGGTTGAGGGAATTTGGGGTCCGCAAAGATCTGGGGGGGGGTTCCCCGGGGGGGGCTGAGGGAATTTGGGGTCCCCAA